AACAACATTGACAGATATAAGTTGAGATGGTCCTGGTTTTTCAAGCCATTGCGTCTTATGATGAACTAAAATTTGACCCAATAATGAATCCAAATGCAGAAGCGAAAATAGAAACCAACTCTCTAGATATGCATTGCATCTCTAAGACGCCAAAGTGACCTTTCATGAGGCCACGGAACTCAACGAGAACAACGCGGAAGAAAAAGATCAAAAAAAGACCAAATAAGCCCCCAAGGGCAAAATGATCTTTTTACATAGAAACGTCGTCTCTAGAAATATACATCATCCCCACGACACATCCGTGACTTCCCATGAAGTCACGGAACTCAAAAGAAAGCATAGCAGAAGCAATTTAAAAAGGAAAATCGGACAAGTTTAGCCCCAAGGTCCAAATCATAATTTCCAGCAAGATTTAGGTGCTGCCGAGTACACCATTGGATAGACAACGAAAAATTAATAAATTTCAAAAAAAAAATCATCTCATTCAAAGTCCGGACAAGGAAGAACGGACTCGGAGAAGAAATGGTGTCGCGACGGCCCAAAGCACCAGGCCAGCAAGCCTATGCGCGCCCGTGCACGCACTCGCACGCTGTGCACCCGGCAAGGCAATGCTGACAGCAACTAAATTTTCTGATTTTTTCAGAACTGAGGCTGATTTTGGAGCCTTAAACGATTTTTTTTGCAAAAACACTAAGAAGAAACCCTCCTTAAAATTAAGTTTTCTTTCCGACCATGTCGAAATAAAAATTTAAAGCGTACTGTGAAATGCCCAGTATGCCCCTAAATCAGTTTAAGTCAAAAACGATGAAAATGCAACTTTACACCAAATGTTTATTTGACCCTAAATGCATTTCTAGGCTAAAACAATTATCCACGCAAACGTATTTAGTAAATTTAAGTGCGCGGGAATGACCCATGGGCCCCGTAAATGCTCAATACAAAATTTGACCTATTAAAGCACAAAAATACCTAAAAATGGACTTTTAAAGGAAATTTAAAACTTAAAATTATAAAAAAAAAAAAAAAAAAAAGATTCAAATGACCGTTTGGCCCTTAGCCACACTTCATGCATGATTGAAGAAACCCTATGGAAGTGTTAAAACTCACTTCCCACCACCCATGCAAATGTAATGACGTTAAAGCATGGCATTTTCCTATTTTTCAACAATAAAGCTCGAAAGTAAAAGTGCTTAGAATACATATTAAATGCACTTGGCCCATGGCCTCATTACATACATGTCAAATACATTACAAAAGGTGTACTTATGTACACATTACATGTTTAGAACCAAATACACAAGTTTTGACATATAAAGATACAAATAGCATTTCAGACTAACATTTGCATGAATCATGAACTTCAAATCTACAAATCATCAAAGCATAATGTGGATCCCCAAATCTTGATTCATATACCTAAAAAATGTCCCCATTACGTGGGTGAGTAACATAAAACTACTCGTAGGAGATGAGCATGCAGAGACCTAACGTTTTACAAACTTATTAAGTTGATATAAATCAATTCAAACGATCATGCCACATAACGTATATGTCAAAGGTGAGACTCAGGGAGCATCCTAAGCTACCTTAGATCATTTCTAGTATAAATCACATCATTCATGCATTTCAAACAATATAGAACCATGTTATACAAAGTAACAAGATATAGATTCTCAAAGTCATTAACTTGAAATCTAAAATACGAAATCATCTAAAGTGGTTTACGCCACCTAGCGTCTATATTCCAAAGTGAACTAAGGGATCATCTCAACTACTTAAATGGTTGAAATTAAATACAAAATACACAAATCTCTAAAGCAATTTTAGAACTTTAAATACCAAAATCACAAGTCACAATTAAGCATTAGTTGCCAACTTGTAATTAAACGAGAAATTAAATAGCGGAATATCTTGGATATCGAATCCCTGAATAAAACCAAGACGTGGCAGTTGATCGGGCTACTAACCCACGGGAACAACCCAAGTGCGCACTAGACGTCAATAGTTACTTCGAGCTACTAACCCCCGGGAACAACCCAAGTGCGCACTATATTTGTAGAGGGAACTCCCATCCCCCATACTAGGACATTGCCCTGGCCATATCAAACTTGTGTGATGTCCCAAGTGTTTCCAAAATAAGTTCAAAATTTATACAAAATTAAATAATGAATAGAAACCGCCATTCACGCACAAGTAGAGATAAAACCACACAAGTCATGTCCTAAAGTTTCAAGTCTACAATGACATTTAAAATGTTAAATCTTCAATGTGCGATTCGTTACATGCTATAGCAATATTGTTCCAATATCGAAAATATAATCTCATGAATATAATACAAGTCTAAAATCATGATTTAAACATTCAATCAACGTCAAATACTTGGTTAAGTCACTAATGCACTAGAATCAAAAATTAATTACATAGCCTAATTAATTTCCTTAGATTTCAATCTCATCCTAATAGTCCCTAATTAACAGATGTTAAACAACATAGCATGATCATTACATACATTAACTCGAAAACTTAATTAGGTCATTGGAACTAAATAGATTTTAATTAATTCATTTAATTAAAATCTCTAAATTTTAAAACTCATCCAAATGCTCTCAAATTAAGCTATGTTAAGGAACATGTCAATACTTAATTTAACATCACATTATAAGTTACTTCCATGCAAGATACAACCATGAAAATTAAACGTTCATTCAAGAAAATAATTAAATAAAAGTTTTAAAACCTATTCAAATATTCTCAATTTAATATATATGAAAGAATCAATAATATCAAGTTAAAAATTTAATTAAGTGATTAGAACACTTAAAATAAAATTAATTTATCTAATTAATTAATTTTCTCTAAATTTCAAAACAATTCCAAATATTCTCAAATTCACACATGTTAAATAATATACCAATGCATAATTTAATATCACATTACAAGTTGATTCCATACTAGTTGCCACCATTTTAATTAAATTTTCATTCAAAAAAATAATTAAATAAAAGTTTCAATACTTACTCAAATACTCCCAATTTAATATGTTAATGAATATATTAAGGCCTAATTTAATAGCATGCCACAATTTAATTCCAAGCTATATACAACCATGAGAATTAAATCTTATACAAAGAAAATAATTAAATTAAATTCTAGATAAAATACATAGGCATGCATACAAGTTATATAAGCTTATAAAATAATCAATACAACAATTATATAAACCTAAGATATCCCCTACCTCCATTTGAGATGAAATTTCAAGTCCTACCGAAAGGAAACCGCTCTAAATCCGACGATACTTCTAGGTTATGTCGGGAACAACGAGGGAAACAACTATCACCTTTGAGGCACCATGAAACTCAAAACCCGAACTCAAAAATGGTCTAAACCGGCTTCTAATAAGGGGGAAAGGATCGTCCCGCCAAGGCTTACGATAAACGTTAAGGCGTTACGGCATTTTACAAAGGGGAAGAAGGTGGAAAAGGAAGAAAGAAGGTGCCAACCCCTTAGGCTGCCATGGCTGCTGGCCAAGAGAAGGAGAAGAAGAGGAAAAGTTGACTTTTTCTTATTTCACCCTATCTTTATAGGAAAAACCCTAAAAGTGCCCTTAACAGGTCCCGTCGGGTCCGGAAAAGTAGAATCTGCGCAGACGCGCTCAAACGGTAAAACACCGTGAACGAAAAAGAATCGAAATGAAAAAAAATGAACAACAGAATAAATAGCGTCGAAAACCAAATCTCGTGCAAAAAGATATGCCCCGAACAAATTCGGAGGCAACCGGGATTGAAATTCCTAAAATTGAAGAAAATGACCGGGAGGAAATTCTAAGAGTACACGACTCGACGAAAAGTGAAAATGAATCCCGTACGAGTATCCAGGCTCAAAATGAGGCACTTTGTAATAACTTTCATTAATTGCACAATAGCCCCTCCAAGAAAGGACAACTGCAAAACTGCCCAAAATGAAAATATCTTCCAAAAGATATTTCTTAAAAACTCCTGAGATAAGTATCTTCAAAAGATATTTACGAAAAATACCACAAGAAATATTAATATTTCTGAAGAATCTTTTCATCCACGCCCCTACGGGAGAAAGATAACCAGCGAGCTTTTCTCCAAACGTAAAGTTACGTATTTCGAAGAAATCAACTGGAATGAAAACTTGTGAAGTTAAAACTCAACTCCGAACACGAAAATTGAGGTTGTGCCAACAAAGTGACAAACAAGAAAAAGACGAAAAGTGAATAGTGTCCAAAAAGTGAAAATGTGGAAATGACTCAGTTCTTAAAAGAAGTTGTCAATCCAGTGGAAAGAGTCTCGAAAACCATTTTCAAGCACTCGAGATGACACTAAGTGATGAGTAACCGAACTTAGAAAAGAAAATTCAATAGAAAAAATTCATTCGTAAAATTTGAGAAAAATGACAAGTTCATTACACCAATAGACAACCTTTTAGATTGGTTAAACTTTCTTCTTTTTGTAAGAAATTGAAAATTTATTATAGCAAAAGAAATATACAATTTTGTTATCAATTTTGTTATTTTGAGAAATTATGTTAGAATGAAAACAAATAGTTTTTTTTAATCAAAAATTTTGTTCTTAATTCACACACAGGTACTTTCTTGAAAATTTATTTCAGAATTGAAATATACAATTTTGTTATTTTGAAAAATTGTGTATTATCAATTTTGTTATTTTGAAAAATTATGTTAGAATAAAAATAAATAGTTTTTTTTTACCAAAATTTTATTATTAATTCACACAAAAATACTTCCGTCCAATTTATTAATCTATATATATATATATATATATATATATATATAGTTTATATTCCTATCATTAGAACTGTTTTTTTATAAAGGATAATTTCATCTAATTTATTAACTTATAAAATTAAAAAAAAAAATCAACTAAATAATCAAAAGACAATTTGATTAATTTTTTATGCCGGTTGGCTTCAATAATGCCTTTGTTCACTTTTCAATTTTCAAACAGTATTACTATCCAAAAAACAAATAACTTTTATCTAAATGTTCATTGGACAAACCTAAAAAAATGTACCGGCTTCAATAATGCCTTGTTCACTTTTCAATTTTCAAACAGTATTTTTGTCTAAAAAAAACAAATAACTTTTATCATAATGTTCTTTTAACAAATCTAAAAAAACATACTGCTGTATTTTATCTTAATTTTATATTGAGTAATTAGGTACTCCTCAAGTATTTTTTGTTTTCTTTTTTTTTCTTTTTTGGCTAAGTTACTTAGGGAATCAAGTGCAAATCTTTTTCATCTAAAAAGCTGTCTCGGTCACCCCTGGTCCATTGTTTATTATTTTTCCCGTGGTTCCGTGGCCCACGGTTTCATGTTCTCCAAAGTCAGATTTAAACATTTCTTGGCATCCAAATTTGTACATATGAACCTGCAAGAGCACCAAACAATAAGAATTGAATAAGAATTTTTTTTTTTTTTAGGAAAATAAAAGAATAAACAAGAAATGAAGGAAATACACACCTCCAAGATACGCATAAGGAGTATACGGTGAATACCAGTACGATGAATCCTCTGCTGTACTATTGCTAAACCTCACAAAATACACACAAACCAAGGGCAAACGGAAAACGTCAACTCAACCGTCAATCTTAACGGAGGGCGTCCAAATTATCATCGTCACACAACGAACGCAACACAGACGACGATGGAACGAACTGATCTGTGGATGGTCATTCAACACGATATGAAACCATTTTTGTAATCGACTTCAACAAAATTGATCTCATGTTAATTGATCTGGGTTTTAAATTTAGTTTTGAAGGTCATTTAGATGGAATTCAAGTCCAAATCTGCTTCATTTGCCTTAAAAAGGCTTATATATATATATATGTATATATTATATTTATGTACACAAAGTATTATAGTCCTGTAATTGGATCTTCAGTGTCTCGGTCACCGGAGTACACCAAAAACTAGTCCGTGCCGACCTCCACCGGGTCTACTGCCAACAAATTCGCCGGGATCTGAAACCGGCTACACCGCCTGTGCTGGGCATTACAAAACCGCCTGCGGCCGGGATCTGTCGTCTCCGTCGCCGGAAACTTACAATTTTTGAGAAAATAATGATATCTGGGAGTTTATTCATCAACGTACACTGATTTCATCACAGATCGTCGGCGTTTGACATGATCGAGAGCCGACTCGGCCTAGGCTGAAAAGACGTACGCCTCCGCTGCTGGTGAGACGAAGGTCGAATCAGAGCCGCCAAAGCTCTCTTCACCAAATCGCCTTCAACCGTTCCGATTCGGACCAGCGAGTTGGTCATCGCCGACCTCCGAGCATTCAATCGGTTGGACGGATATGACACCGAGTGATTGTTGTTGAAGTTCTTGTGCAAACTACACCGAAACGAACCTGGATGTGTCGTCGGCGAACACATACAAGTCCTCTTGCGATTCGACAACGGATTGTTGGTCGGCTTCTTCACCATCTGATTGCGAGACACCGAGATGGACCGGCCTGGAGAACCCGGGCGGTCAAGTGAGAAACGTACGGACGGAGCCGACGGAGCCGACCCGTAGAGATTGACACGCGTTGGAGAGGTAGATCTGTGAAAGAAAGTGGTGGATCGTGACGAAAAGCTGGAGCTAGACGAAGCAAAAGCAGAAGACGATGACGAATGCGAAGAGTAGAATCTTCCGGAAGGAGAGAGGGAGCGAAGCACCGCTCCGCTTGATTTTCTAGTTGATGTGGCCATTTCAGTTACAGTAAGGAAAGTAGAAAGGGGAAGTATGGAGAGAGAATGGGAGAGAGTCTAGAGAGAGCTGTTTTTGTATAAGCCGCGTTTGGCTATCTAATTCGGCAAACCTAGCTCCACTCAAGCTATGTATTTATAGTTGGAGAGGGGGATTTAAAAGATTTTATTTATTTATTTATTGAGCTTTAAATGGTTGAACCTAACCAGAGTTGGGTTGAGTTAAAGTGACTCTGGTTTAGGGTTAGTGGGGTTTAGATAGAGATGCTGTGGGCTGGGACATAAGTCGACAAAAATCTGAGCCGTTTAACCAAACGGCTTTTATTGGGGGACTCAAAAGACTGCCACGTACGTTATCTTCTTAAACCGATACGCGCTCTTTAGGTTACACGTAGAGAATGGTAATTAATTATAGATTGGGTTGGGATAAAAAATTCTGGACACAGAAAAGGAGTGGTGTGTGTAATGAGGAAGCGGTGCACATGCGGGTATTCCGATCAATCTCATAAAAATGGTCGAGATTTCCAATATGCAATTTTTTATTATTTAAGAAATTTTAAAATTTTTTATTATTATGTTATTTTATCAAAGATATAGAAACGAAAATTAAATAATATTTATTATAATTTAATTATAATAGAATATTAGTACTTGCACTAATTTATTGTAACGAATTACTTAATTAAATATTTATTTATTTATTTATTTTATGCATGTTACAAATAAATAGAGAGCATCATTTCTTTATTTATTGTATAAATAATTAATTAAGAAAAATAAATATTACAATTTACAACCATAAATCAATGCAAATATTATTTTTATTATAATATTATTCAAAATTATTGTTAAAAAATAGTAATGTTGAGATTAATGTTTTGGTTAGTACAAAAGTAATAAATTGTTTTGGTTAGTACAAAAATAGTAATTTACTTTCTTCAAATGATTTGAAAGCGGAATATTTTGAAATTAAAAGTGGGGACAGTTTTGGTCTTTTTAACATTACCACACGTTGAGTTTCTTAAGCATTAAGATTAGTAAAATAGTAATAGGTGCTAACAGTGAAAACACTGGTAAAGCCGTTTTGTGAAATTGCAGATGGTGCGAAAAAGTCATATAGAAGATTCTGGTGGCCATGAGACTATGAAAGTGGGACACGTAGTGCCCAAGTGTTGTGAGGCGAATGGCTTATTTGACAAATTCGTGTCAACACCGTGGTCCGTGGACCACGTTTTCTTGTTTTACTCCGGGTCCATTTTGAAGAGTCAGGTCGGGAAGGCAGGCGCTCCCATCTTTGATATTTTCTCAGGAGGTGGGAAAGTGATGGAAAATACAAATATTTGCGTGCGCCTTTTTGTGTGTGAGAGAGAAAATGTTACTTTTATGATAATTTGTATTTTATATACCGTGCATCTCAATTAGCCATATATTGTAAAATATTATAATTTGTACTTTTCCATCATTTGTATTGTAAAAATATCCATTTTTGTCGCCATATATTGTTTTAGTTTTCTACAAAATTATACGAGAATTTATACTGATTCATTTGTTTATTTTACATGATGGTAAGAAATGGAAATTTAAGTACAAAAAAATATTAATTCGTATGCTTTTTTGCTAATTAATAATGGTATCTTTTTTATAAAAAAAATTTAATGTTTGGATGTAAATCATGTGATAAATTCACACTTATACTTTTCTCCACTTGAATTTATTCATAAATAATGTAGAAAGAAAGAAAAGAAGAAGCTAATAATGTAGTTTTGGTTAACTGGGGAACTAGCGTGAATTATTATAGTGTGTATCTCATTTTATTTTTCATTTAAAAAAAAAAAAAACAAAGTAGAGAAAAATAAAGAAAATGTCATGTTTATTATATATATATATATATATTTGACTAAATTAAACCATAGAAAGAAAGAAAGAAACAAAGAAGAAGTTTGTATCGAGTATAGAAAAAGAATATTCAAAATTTGAACCTAATGGCAGACTTTTAGAGTGTAGTTTGAGAACATTTAGGTGGAAACTAATAACCAACACCTCAACTCTGAAGGGCCAAAACAAGTGGTGGTTGTATTTCAGTTGTGAATAACTGCAATAAATAGAAAAATGCAACATCATGATGTATTCATGCTTTGTTATACTGGTTTTTATAATTTTTAAACTAATGAGTGCCAACCATTCATGTAGTTGATACTTCTAAAATTTATGAATGGTTAAGTAGTGGGTCAAAAAAGAAACCAATAAATCATCCAAAAAAAAAAAAGAAAAAAACAAAGAAACCAATATAATAATAATAATAAATCAGAAGACGTATTTATATATGTGTGTGTGTGTTTGTGTGTGAGTATTAGGGCTTTTAAATTAATTTGAGGGCTTGTCTGAATCTGACGGTTGCTGGGTTGGAAAGCCGGAGAAGAATAAAGTGGTATGCTCATGTTATTAACGTTAATCATGTTCAAATATTGTAAGTCGAACTAATTAAATATTTCAAATTCGATACAGGTACAAGACTAATTATTTATTATAACTACTAATTAGTAGTATAAGCTAAAGTACAAGTTGTTGTATCAAATATCACTCATTGGCAGGAAACAGCTAGTATTTGACTAAAATAAAATAATTTGACATACAAGTATGCTTTCCTTTACCATTCAATTTAATTAGTTACAATTTTTCCATCTCATTGTAAACAATACTATATTGGACTTCAGTATCGGCTTGTTTGCCGCTTATAGGACTTCATTGTCTACTTTAGGGGCATATTTAATACTCTTTCTTTCTTAATATAAGTGTCATTTATGGAGAGTATAATTTTTAAGGGGATATGTGGGATCATGTATTGTCTGTTTGAAAAATTATTAAGTTGCCCTTTTTAAGTTTTGAATATTAAAGTTTAAAATTTAAATTCAAATGATGTTTTTGAAATGATGTGAAATATAATGTTTAAAAAAAAAAAATGAACACTTATTTTAGAAAAAATAACAAATAAAAATAAGATACTTATTTTAAGACGGGGTGTAGTTTACTAAGTAATGAAGTTTTTTTTTTTTTTTTTTTTTTTTTTTTTTTTTTTTTTTTTTTTTTCTAAGTATGACCTTTGTACACTTGTACATATATATAATATTATAAATTATGTTTCTAGAAAGACTACAAAGTATGAATGGCGGAGATGCACTCATTTCACACTGCAACGGCCGTAATAAAAAAATTTCCTAAATATGTATGACCTTGCGCACTTACACATGCATATAATACTATAAATTGTCTCTAATATGACTACAAAGTACAAAACACGGGGCTCTAGGGAATTGGAGATGAGAGAAAAGAAAGGAAAATTTTTATTTTTGTTTGTTTTGAACGGAGGAGATTTGGGAGAAAAAAACACAATGGATATAAAAAAAAAAATTAATTAAGTACTAATTACTAATTAAACAATTATTTCCTTTTTTATAATTTTTTTACTAATTTTTTATTTTATTTTTTATGAACTATATGGTAGTGTCGAATTTCTTAGAGCACCGTATAACCCAATCCTCCATGCAACAAGGACCGGACAGTTACTGAAAAACTTATTAGAATTGACTCTAAAAAGATTTGAACTCTGACCAAAATTTATCTTTTTTCAAATTCTCTACAAAGCCTTAGCTTGTCAATGCCATTTCCTCTCCAGGGGTAGCAGTGTTGGTAGAGATTTAGAAAATAAGTCTTTGAGGTGTAACTTTCGAACCGCACTCCTGACTTGAATGGTGCGTGTATTATAAGGTTAATACACGTACTCTAAGGAAAAAAAAAAATTTCATTCCACTGTCTACTCCCAACATAATTAAATATTAATGTTATCTTTCTCTTTATTTTCCTCGCTTGATTTTTCAAACATGAATAGAGAAATAGTATTTGCAATTGTTGCTTTATATACCTTATAAGATCTGTTTTGAGCAGAAATATTGTTTATGAATTAGCTGGATTCAATCGGGTTTTTGTACAAGATTAAATGTTTATAGTAGCTAAATCACTAATTATAAGGGAAAGAGATCTTTATTTTTGGACTTATCGATTGCTCTTTTACTAGCAAACAACTAAATGGTGGATTATGTATGATTCATCAGCGATTGCCTGAAAAGAATTGCAATGGGACCACACACTCCTACAGAAACAAATTTGAAACTGTGAGCTACTAAACAACTCGTAATATTGAAGCGGTATATTATTATTATTATTATTCTTATTATTATTGTTATTACCTTCAATATAGTGAAATGTAAACATAAAATTCAGATGCATTATTAACACTCTGAGAGTGTAAATTCAAGAAATCACAAGAATTACCGGAAAAAAAAAAAAAAAAAAAAAAAAAAACCTTGTTTTATGACTGGGCTAATATTTGATATTTAAATTCCCACCTATATCTAAATTTCTTAATTTTTCATCAGTTCTATCGCCACTCAATTTTATTAATTATACTTAAATCATAGAAGGTAGTCCCTGATAAACTAATTACAGTGTTATGTACCCCGAGACACCTCTGTCTCTCTCTATTTGTGCTTCGTACGTTCGCTTTCAACACAAATTGATAATTGAAATGCCCAAATGTCATGTTCTGCATTCAATTCCTTGAATTCTGTTTCTATAGTATTTTTCAGGATTGGACTGTTTCCGATGGAGGTCTGTATAGAAGAAATTTTATAAATAGTTCAATCTCCACCTTAGATTCTTCTTTAATCACAATCAATGGGTTTATGCAGTTTTGTTAAAGTTATTATGTTTAGACTGCTTTGAATATAAGCTTTATATATTTAATTTTTTCCTCATGTCCATTGTGTTCCCTAGTTTTAAAGAAATCACTTATACTTTAAAATATTGTCAATAATTGTCCCTTCATTTAACTTTATTAACGTGAATTCCCTTTTCCTATTTTGACCACCTGTCCACATGAAAAGTATCACCGGATTAACAACTATATAAGCAGACAATTCAGCGATGTGCCCGCTAATGTATACAACAACAGTCATTATAATTGTGATTAACAGAATAACTCTTCATAAATCATCCAAGACAACGATCGTGCATAATATATAATACATATATATTTGTTACTGTATAGACATTTCTTTATAAATATAT